AAATTTTTAAATTCTGCTGCGTTATTTGTTCCGTACGGGTATATCGAACCCAACAACGTTGATATTGCCAAGATTGCATCAGAGGACAACTTAGCTGATCCCTTCACGAGGAGTTTGCTGGAGAAGGTCTTCGTCAAACACGTGTTAGGAATGGGAGTCAAGTGCATGGTGATAGGATCGACATAAGTCTTTTAGAATAACGAATTGATAGGACTATACTTGTAAAAGCTAACGCTTTAAGTATAAGTGGGAGATTATTAGTGTTATATGCTGAAAGTTTGACTTTGAGTGATATTACACTTTACCCTTTATGAATGAGAAACATGTTAGATTAAACAAGTTATGTGTTCTATCGTTTTGCATTAGATAGTGTGGGTCGTCATCGGGAAAACCGAAGATTATTTTATAAGTTACTAACGGAACAAGAATATTGGTTCACAACCTAGAAGGACATGAACACCCCATCATGAACGGATGTAGTGTCAACGGTACAGTTTGTCTTGACTGATTAGTTGCACTAGTACATTTATGTATTGAACAGGATCCCAGAGAGAAGCAGTTCGTTTTCTACTCATCGTCGTACACGAACTAGACCTCGGTTAATTACTGCGTTCTCTTAACCCGTAAGATATTAAATAGACATATATATGCATTACATATTTCTTTGATTCATACGGGTGAGGTTTAGTGAACTGGACCTATAGACGCACTGTCTTGGGTTATATTGCTGTATGTATGATGTTCTTTTAGGATATTTACAGTTACCATGTACATTTAGATTGATGATGTCCCCAGAATGAGTTCATGAAGGATTATTATGCTAAACCCTGCAGTTGGATTAAATTCACTTGCTTTGGTGAAATAATAATAAATTTATTAATTCTTGATTATCAGTAGTCGAATTAATTAGTGGACATTATATCTTAAACATGGGGAGATAATTTGAGTAATTATTATTGGAGTCTCAATTGTAAATTGGGCTAGGAAAAAAGAGTTCAATAATATTATGTTGGTGACTTATTAATATTATTTAATTAATTAGAATAGTGGGTTTGGCCCGCAAGTATTTGAATTTATTAAGGAGCTCTATTCTTAATCTCCTAAGGGTCCGTACTGTAGCTCTATATGTACATCAATAACATCATGAGAAGAAAAGAGTTGGGCATTATACACGCCCACCCCGCGCGCGCCATCCCCCTCCTCCCCCACCCCCCTCTCTCTCTCTCTCTCTCTCTCTCTCTTTCTCTCTCAGTTCCCGTTCAGGTTTTATCTTCTTGTTGTTGCTCCACTAATACAAGTTGAAGAAAGGCGTTTGAGATATACAGTAGAAGATCTCGTGGTTTATTGAGATACACATATATTAATCGACCCCGTGATCAGCCGGAGCCAACAAACCGCCGATCCCAGCCAGCCGGACCCGCCACGACGCCAGCCAAGGACCGCCACAGCCCCGTCGGCGAGATGCAACTAGCTCGGACCCGCAATGCCCAGCCGCGATGTGGCCCAGCGTTCTCCACGCATCGTCCGGGATCCGACCCGGCTCCCGACACGACCCAATCGACACAACCAGCTCCGCTTATCCGTTCGTGTGATCCCCATCAGCTCGTGTTCCAATCCCAGTCATCCGTTTGAAGATCAACCAGATCTCTATAAATTTTAAGCCGTAAGTTTTCTACGTCAAAACTTTAAATCCACTGTGCATAGGTTTACGTTTGCTATTGCGTTCGTGATTTGTACATGAAGAGATCCTCACAGATCCTAACAGTATATATAGTGCTACAGTAGGGATCATAAAGAGAACAGTATTAGGGCTTCTTAAGTAATGGACTAACTGTGGGCCTGGCCCACTCTTCCAATTACATAAATAATACTACTGTCCACTAACGTAATATTATTGCGCTCCATTTTCCTATCCCAAATTACATTTAAGACTCAAATTATAACTACCCAAATTACATCCCATGTTTAAGATATAATATCTAATAATTAATTCAGTTACAGATATCAAGAATTAATAAGCATATTATATTACCAAAGCTAGCGCTCGTTCATTGCATTATTAATATGCGGGAACTTAAACAACATGTAGGGTTTAACATAACAATCCTTCATAAACTCACTTTGGGGGTATCATCAAACAAACGCACATGGTGACCGTAAATATCCTAACAACACATAATACATACAACAATATCACCCAATACAGTAAGACTATTAATCCAGTGAACTGAATCTAACCATCTAACCAAAGTGAATCAAAGTAATAAGTACTGCATGTGTATGTCTGTTTAATATCTTACGGGTTAAGAGAACACAATAATTAATCGAGACATAAGTTTGTTTACAACGGTCAGTATAAAACAAATTGTTTCTCTCTGGAATCATGTTCAATACATAGTCATACTAGTGCAACTAATCAGTTAAGATTAACTGTACGGTTGACAATACAACCGTTCTGATGGGGTGTTCATTTCCAATTAGGTTGTGAACCATAAATTCTTATTTCGCAAATAACTGATAAAATTATTTACTGTGCATATGTGTTGAACCATTATATCTAAATGCAATACAACAGAACATAGAACTTGTTTAATCTAACATGATACTCATTCATCAAGGGCAAAAGTGTAATATCATCCAAACTCAAGCTTTTAGTATATAACACCAACAATCTCCTACTTATACTTAAATCTTTCGCTTTTACAAGTATGGTCCTATAAATCCGTTATTCTAAAAGACCTATGTCGATCCTATCGCCATACATCTGACTCTCATTCCTTCCACGTGTTTGACGAAGACCGTCCCCGACAAACTCTTCGTGAAACGATCAACTAGGTTGTCCTCTGATGCAATTTTGGCAACATCAACTTCTCTTCTTCCTACGATATCTCGTCTCAAGTAGTACTTGCGCTCTATGTGTTTACTTTCTTTGTGGGCTCGTGGTTCCCTTGAGTTTGCTACTGCTCCACTATTATCATTGTACACAGTGATACTACGTGGCAAACTCGGAATCACCTCTAAGTCTACTAAGAAGTTCCAAAGCCAAACTGCCTCTCAGGCTGCTATGTACTCAACTTCCATGGTGGAGTCTACTACCCGTCGCACTCCTCCATGAAATGGCTCCACCTCCCAAGGTAAACATATATCCTGAGGTTGACTTACTTTCGTCCATGTCTGTCTGACAATCGAAATCATTGTAACCCAGAGGTAGTAAGTTGCCTGCACGGTAAGCTAACATGTACTCTTTAGTCCTCTTCAGGTACTTGAGTATATGTTTCACCGAAGACCAATGTTCCCGTCCTAGATTACTTTGATATCTAGTTACCATGCCAATGGCATAGCTAATATCCGACCTCGTACACAACATAACATACATAAAACTTCCTACTATCAGTGCATAAGGAACTATCTTCATGTCTTCTATCTCTTGAGACGTCCTGGGAGACATCTCCTTGGATATACCTATTCCATGTCTGAAAAGTAACATACCTTTCTTAGAATCTTGCGTGTTGAATCTAGCCAAGACAGTATCTATGTATGTAGACTGGGATAAGCACAACATTCTCTTCTTACGGTCTAAAATGACCCTAACACCAAGAATGTGTCCTGATTCACTAAGTCTTTCATACCAAACTGCTTAGATAACCACACATTTACGTCTGATAACTCTTTCTTACTGTTTCCAATAAGAAGTATGTCGTCTACGTAAAGCACAAGAAACACCACCACGCTCTCACTGATCTTCTTGTACACACAGTGCTCATCCAGACATTGAGTGAATCCGTACGACTGGATCACCTCATCGAACTGGATATTCCATGTCCTCGAAGCTTACTTCAGTACATAAATAGACTGATTAAGCTTACACATTAAATGCTCATGTCCTTTAGCAAGGAATCCCTCTCGTTACTGCATATAGATGTCCTCCTAAATTTTTCGTTAAGGAAAACTGTCTTGACATCCATCTGCCAGACCTCATAATCCATATGAGTGGCTACAACCAAAAGAATTCGAATGGATTTAAGCATGGCTACTGGCAAAAATGTCTCATCATAATCAATACCCTATTTCTAAGTATAACCTTTCGCAACCAGCTAAGTTTTGAAGTTTTTCACCTTCCCATCCGATTCTCTCTTTCTCTTATAGACCCATTTACATCTAATGGGTCGTACCCCATCGGGTGGTTCTACAAGATCCCAGACCTGATTGGAGTCCATTTACTTCATTTCAGCTTTCATTGAAACATTCCATGAATCTGCATATTTATCTTAGAGTGCTTCGTCATAAGTCCATGGGTCCAATGTTAGGTCTCCTGGAACTGAGTCTGATGGCTCTCCAAGACTTATCCATCGGTCGGGTTGCATAAAAACCCTCCCACGACGACGAGGTACTATCTGCACTAGTACACTCTCAGTGTGTCGTGTTGCAGTATCATGTGATACATCTACTTGTGCACTCGGTGGAGAACTATCGACATCACCCCTCAACTCCTCTAAGATAAGTCTACTCACAGGCTTGTGGTTAATCTTCTTCCAAGAATCTAGCATTCGTACTAACGATCACCTTATTAAAATAGTAAATATAAAAAATTATCATAATTAAATATAATAATGTAATATTTTATCTCTAATATGAATTTAAAATACTTGAAAAATTAGAAAACGTGAGACACTGACTCTACAAATATAAAATATAACTATGATACAATATTTTTTTTTGTTTAAAAAAACAAGACTCAAGATATGAGGTTGTAAATAATATTGGTTTATTCATATTTAATTTTAAATATATATATATATATATATATATATATATATATTGGAAAATGTAGCGTAAAAATACGGGCACCGTTGAAATTAATTATCACTTTGATAGTTATTTATTCTTGATGCATATTCATCCCCCATATATATAATTTCAAAACGTGTTGAGCCTATATGGCTGGCTAGCACGCTTCGAAATCTTACTTGGCAAAATTTCATGCGTTGTTTTTTTGTGCTCGGACAAAAATTAATATAATTCAATCCCAAAGCAACAGGTTCGGAAAAACTATAATTATATTTGGTATCTGCAATACTATTTATGCTAACTGATTATGTTTAATGCCATAGTTGATTATATTTAATCCAACACCATGATTTGAGTGAATAGGATCCTTAAATATCAACATGTTATTGAATTAAGTAATACTAGTGCGGTACCTATGCGATACACGTGCTAGTCTTACTAAGATAAACATTTAGATTTTGATGATTGGAAAAAACGCAAAACACATGTATTGTAATAAAACAAAATGTAGCTTATATATTATTAAATAAATCCTTGTACATAATATTATTTGTTTGGTCTTCTGATACATCGCCTATCGTCACAAATTATATTAAGATTCTAGATAGGCTTAAATACATCAATTAAATTATTTAGCATAATATATTTGATGTTATTTATATTGGTTTTATGAAGATTGCATAGCCAGATTGTAAAACGTATTTCTTGATAATCTAGAGCCTTATTATTTAAAAATTGTAATAAGTTACTTAATTTAAGGAAGGGAAAAATTGTCTCGACATTTGAGGAGTTTCGAGAATATGGCCGTGTTGCATCGTTATAGCGATTCTGTCCAGTGTCGGGCATTCTTAACAACGCTACGAGGACCTGCGCAAGACTGGTTCCACCAACTGCCACCCGGAGCAATCATGGACTTTGACGGGCTCATCTCGAGTTTCCTCAACTAGTTTGCAAGTGTAAAATCCCAAGAGAAGTCGTATCTTACTCTGATAGGTATGCAACAGAAGGAATGAGAGTCGCTGCGGGACTATGTGGCGAGGTATACACGGGCGTGTGTCGACGTGCCCTCAGCCGAAGAAGAAATCAAGTCGGGAGGACTAACTAGGGGACTACTACCAGGGTTGTGCATAAACTCTTTGGCGAAGCGATCCGGTAGGACATTCGATGAAGTCTTGGGAAGATGTGCAAAGTATATGAACGAAGAGGAGGCGAAGACCGACTTCTTGCAGTCTTCAAAGTCAGGCAAAACTGAGATTTGGGAGGAAAAGAAGGATAAGAAGGTTAATTCGTCGGGGGGAGAGGAAAGGATCCCCACGAGCAGAAAGAGAGGACGGTCGAGGGGATGGAGGCCAACCCAGTACACCCCTCTATCGGCCCCCCAGGCGAGAATACTGGAGGTGATGGAAAAAAAGATTCATGATAATGTCGTAAGTTGGCCCCGGACGAGGAAGGGTGGACCAAGAAAGCCCAAAAGTAACCTCTATTGTCGATTCCACAAAGATTATGGGCACAACACCGATTATTGTAGGCATCTCAAGGACGAAATTGAGAGGCTGATCAAGGAGGGGCACCTGAAGGAGGTCATCTATAAGGATCGGGAGAGCTCTAGTCGAAAGAGTGAAAGGAACAGAAGCCCACGTAAGAGGATAAGATCGCCTGAAAAGGAAGAACTTTCCCCTAAAAGAGGAGTGATTCACATGATATTCTGAGGATTGACTGATGGCAACTCGAAACGAGCAAGGAAAGCGTATGCTCGGGGTCGACAAGCAAGGGTCTAGGTGCAACAGGTGGATGAGAATGGACCTATCATGAATTTCGGGCCAGCAGACACAAGCGAAGTCGAGAGGCCGCACAACGATGCCTTTAGGATAACGACTCAGGTGTCAAGATATGAGGTGCAAAGAGTCTTCATCGACACAGAGAGTTCAGTGAATGTGATCTTTTATGCATGTCTCAAAAGGATAGAACTCGACATTGAGCTCATACCTCTACATACGTCGTTATTTGGTTTCAATGGATCAGAAGTCACACCCCTGGGAGAAACCATGCTCGCAGTCGTCCTGGGGAAGGTGACTTGTGGAAGGTGAAGATGGTGAGGTTTGTGGTAGTCGACGTCGAGTCAGCTTATAATATGATCCTTGGAAGGCCGACGCTCAATGCCTTTCAAGCAGTGGTATCGACTTACCACATAAAGTTGAAGTTTTCTATTGGAGACCAAGTAGGAGAAGCTCGAGGAGATCAAAAACTATCGAGAACATGTTATCAAATAGCGATTAGAACTAACCAACAAGCCGAAGTTAAAGAAAGGAAGAAGCCAATGCCGAGTGAAAATAGACCGAGGGAGAGCGATCTCGAGCCACACGAAGAACTGATGGAAATACAAATAGGGGAGATGGAGGATCAGACCACTAAGGTTGGGAAAGATTTAAAGGATGAGTTGTGAAATCTGCTTGTCGCACTGCTGAAAGAGTTCAGGGACATATTTTCTTTTACCTCAGAGGAGCTGACGGGAATCGACCCTGAAATCATGGAGCATAAACACAATGTCGAGCCCCTCAGGAAGCTGGTGAAAAAGCGATTTAAGCACCATGGTGTAGAAATTGACAAAGCTATTGAAGTCGAGGGGGACAAGTTGTTGCGAGCATGGCACATCAAGGAAATCCAGTTTCCCGAATGGATATACAACACAGTGATGGTGAGGAAGGCTTTCAAGAAATGGCGTATGTGTATCAACTTCCGTAATTTGAACCTAGCATGCCCAAAAGATCACTATCCGTTGCCGAGAATTGACCAGCTGGTCGACTCCATAGCTGGCTGTGAATTGCTGAGCATGATGGATGCATCCCAAGGGTACCACCAAATCCCATTGGCCCCGGAGGATCAGAGTAAAGTGAGTTTCGTGACGAGCAAAGGGACATACTGTTATGTCGTCATGCCCTTCGGACTCAAGAATGTGGGGGTGACTTACCAAATACTGATGGATCGAATGTTCAAACCACAGATCGGGCGTAATATGGAGGTGTACATGGACGATATCTTGGTGAAATGCAGGTCCTCTACCTCGCATACTGACGACTTGAGAGAGACGTTCACAACACTTAGATTGTTTTGGATGAAACTAAATCCGAGCAAGTGCAGCTTTGGAGTAAGGGTCAGGCGATTTCTAGGATATGTCGTGATGAAACGAAGAATCAAGGTGAACAAGGAAAATGTGCAAGCCATACTCGACATAGTCCCGCCGAGGAATATCAGAGAAGTGCTAGTCCTGACGGGTCGAATTAGTGTGCTGAGCAGGTTCATTGCTCGAGCCGCTAAGAAGAGTTTCCTATTCTTTAAACTACTCAAGAAGAAATTAACTTTCATATGGAGCGAGGAAGCTCAAATGACATTTGAAAAGCATAAAGAGTTCTTGAGCGAATTGCCCCTATTGAATAAGCCCGAGCCCAATGACGAGTTGGTTCTTTATATCTCAGTCGGGATAGTATCATTGAGCTCAGTGCTACTTCGAGAGGATGGAGGTTCCCGCCACCCAATTTATTACACAAGTCGAGTACTCCAAGGAGCCGAGACGAGAATGCTTCTTGTCTGCTCTCAGTTTTGAGCAAGTATAATAGGTTCACTAGACAAAAAGTAAACCTGAGCAAATCCTCAGGTTTTTTCAGCAAAAATGTCTCTGCTAATGTGATTGGGGAAATTTGTCAAATTCTTGAAGGAATCTCAGTCATGAAATCCTCAAGATACCTGGGCCTACCTCTGGGTTTTGGGAGGTCTAAGAAAGAACGCTTTGATTATGTGGTGCAGGCAGTGAGGGGAAAAATGATAAACTGGAAGAATAGATTTTTATCTTGGGCAGGAAAGGAAGTTTTAATTAAGTCTGTCATCAATGCCTCCCTATTTACTGCATGTCCTGTTTCTGTTTACCTAAGAATGTGTGCCAGGAATTTCCAAGTCTTGTGCCGAATTCTGGTGGAGCAAAGGTGCAGACCAAACCAAAGGCATCAATTGGAAACAGTGGCAGAAAGTCACCTCGGCTAAAGAGGATGGAGGTCTCAATTTCAAGATATCAGCTTGTTCAATGAAGCTCTAATTCTCAAACAAATTTGGAGGGTTGCAACTCACCCAAATCAGCTGGTGAGTAAAGTTCTTAAAGGGAGGTATTTTGCAACTAGCTCTATTCTGCAGGCTAAGAAAAAAAGCAATGCATCATGGTTGTGGCTGAACTGGCTGAAAGTCAAAGACAATCATCAACAAGGTTTCAGGATTCTAGTGAGGAATGGCTGCAGTACAAAGGTGCGGAGTGATCCATGGCTCCTCAAGGCAGACTGTGGAATCCCTGAGAAACAAGAGAGTTGTTCTAGAAATGTGGAATGTGTATGGGAGCTGCTTTCTGATGGGGGTAGAGAGTGGAATGAGGAGTTGCTTGCTGATTTATTTAAGGAAAGTGACAGAAATCTGATCAGGGAGATTAAGCTAAATCCAGAAGCTAATGACAAATGGGTATGGATGCATGATGCAAAAGGGCTTTTCTCAGTTGCTAGTGCTTACAACCATATATTAAAGTAGAAATTGAGAACTCTGGAGGAAGCTGAGTTAAGCACAAGAGACAGAGAGAGCAAGAAGGTGAGAAGGAGGAGCTGGAAGCTTAAGGTGAAGGGTAAACTTAAACATTTTATGTGGAAATGTTACAATGGAGCACTCCCAATCAATTTGAAGCAGATTAGGAGAGGCATGACTGTAGATCCCATCTGCCATGGGTGTGGTGAGGAAGAAGTGACTGTAGAGTATATTATGTTCACTTGTTCTAGGGCAAAAAGAGTATGGAAACTATCTCAAGTGAGTTGGTCTGGTTTGGATGTACACTGTAATGACTTCAAGGAATTGTGGTGGCATGCATGCAAAGTTGACAGAAGACTTATATCTGAGGAAAGACTTCAACTATCCACATACATTTTGTGGTGGTTATGGAAGTCGAAGAATCTGTGAAAATTTAAGCAAGAATGGATGCAGGAGAAGGAGGTTGTGGCAGCTGCCTGGAGAGAATGGAGAGAGTTTGGAGAAGCTGCGGTTTCCTGATCAAGCAAGGGGAAGAAATGAAAGGCTAGGTCTCACCGGAGTTCAGTGGTGGCTCATTTATCTCCTTAGCACTTTTTTTTTCTCATCTCTCTTTCATTTGCATTGTTGTTATGTCTGATATTATTGCTGGACTAAAGGATTCAAGTTCATGTCTTGCTTTAGTCTAGTTTATGGGGTTGTATTGTTTAGGCTAGGCACCTTTTATGGTGATCCTCTCTTTGTTTATTTGTGGGGCTATTTAGCTTCCCTTATTGTGTATCTTTTTTTGTGGGAATGAATATCTATCGTTTCCTTAAAAAAAAAAAGTATTAGTATATTTACATCTTACTTTTTTTTTTAAATTTATTTAGCCTAATTTAAATTGAAAGATTTCTCTTACCCAATGGCACATATTTTTAATCTCAATCATCAATAATTTTTTTTATTTTTTATTTATTTATTTATTTTTTACTTTCTCGTCTCAATTAAAAGATTTAATTTTAATCACTTTTAACAGGTAATGTGAATATTTAGGAGTTTCAAGCTGGGTGGGACCTCTACAGTTTCCCAAATCAAAGGGTCTTGTAGAACTCACCACCCAGTGTTTTTATTTTTGTCAGAAACAAAAAAAAAAAGTCTTTTGTGCAGTCTGTAAGTAGGAATTTGGGTTATGATGATAGATGTGCTATTGTGGTTCCTATTGGTTCCAGTGGAGGACTTATTCTGTTCTGGTCTTTAGATGTGGAGGTGTTGCAGCTGATTTGCAGGGATTTTTTCATTGCCATTGAATTTAAGTTACAGAATGAGAGGAAGACTTGGGGTATCTTTGTTTATATGACTCAGAAAGAGGGTTAAGAGAATCTCAAAGACAAATTCTTCTTCAGGAAAAGACTCAGTGGGGAGATGAGTGGTTTGCTATGGGGGACTGGAATGATATATGCTCCCCTGCAGAAAAGAAAGGTGGCAGGAAGAGAAATGCCTGTAGCTTTCTTGATTTCAACAGCTTTATTTCTAGTATGGAAATGGAAGAAGTGACTATGGCTGTCTATCAATTCACATGGGCTAATAATAGGGAAGAGGAGGGTTTGTGTGACGCCCCGTTTGTTTATAAATAATTCTGGATTATTATTATTATTATTATTGTTATATTTATCATTATTTGTGGCTTATATTATTATTAGTAAATAATTGCCTAAATGCTAAGTGATTTTATGTGCTTATATATATAAATATTAATTGTGGTATTTTTATTTTTTAATTATTATTATTATTACTATAAAGTACTATAAATATTTTAATTATATTATTGTATTTAAATTTTTAAGTTCGCACCGAGACCCGAGAACCGTGAGACGCGAGCCGCGCCCGTGAGCCATTAGTCACGCCGAGGCCGCGCCCTCAATGCCGCGTCCGCCCGCCCCTTCTTCCTCCTCCTTCCTTATTTGTGTTGTGTTGCTTTAGGCAAGTGCCTTGGAAGGCAAGTCCTAACCCTAGTATTATA